AAAAAAAAAAAAAAAGATAAGTCTACCAAAATTGGCGTCTAAATTCAGTTTTGGTAAGTTTATCAACAACGAGCAAGCAGAACGTAGAAAGAAACTTTGTTTTGGCAAATTAGTGATATTTGAACGACAGTAAAATGAATTAAATAGCTCAAGCCTCTTCGAATAATTTTTTAACTAGTAATCAAAGCTAGAGTAACTGCAGTCAAATAGCTGCTGACTTATTATTTCAGATGCTGCTTTCGTGATGTTTATTAAACGGTCCTAGATTTAGAAAAGTTGCTGGTAATAGCATTTTAAAGTATTTTTCAATTGAACTGCTTTTTTTTAAAATTTAAAGCGCTGAAAAAAGGATATTATCAGCTAAGGTAACAAATTTACAACAAGTTCATAACGCTAACTTATTTTAATTTTTTATTTACTCAAACGAAGTTTACAAATTTAATTAAACGACTGCTAAAAGATTTAAAAAATAAGCTACGATTATTTTCATTAGTTTTCATAGCACACATTTCACTCGTGTAATAACCTTAATTATACTCTGATGTAGAGCAAAAAATCGCTTTCGATTTATCCTTAAAAATACGTTGTTTTTTTTTTGAGGAAAGAGAATGCAAGAATCATGTAACTATACAAATTAATAGCACATTGGTAACGCTTTTTGTTCTATATTTACTGCCATTTTAATGCGAAATCAATTTTATCCAAAACATTTAAATTGTGCGTCAATAAAAAATAATTTGGTTTAGTGTTCAGCTTTTTTCTTCTATTGATAAATAGTGAAAAGTTTCAAAGATCATACAAGAAATAAAGAAAAGAACAGACTCTCTCATAAAACCCTGTCTGAAGAGTTCTTCGTATGATGCGGACATACACGAGTAACAACGGTTTGAACGAACATATCCTGCAATTGCAACAATATTTTATAATGCACAGTCTATAAAAAATCTAGATTAGCTAATAAAATACTTGGCCATCTAATGCTACCTACTGTTTGCAGATATTTTAAAAATAAAACTACTTTTTTTTTTGACCTTTTCTTTTATTAACTATTTATTTTTAAAGTGTAACAAATTGTGACAACTTTCCAAGCTCAAAAAGAATTAACTACAAACTCAAGAGGTTTCTTCAAAAATACTCGTAACATATATGTTTTAGAAAAATCAAAAATTTTATAAAACCTCTACCACATATCACTTCTTACAAATAAATACGATGTTTATTAGGTCTAAAATTAGGTGAACAAAGTTACCAGAAAATTACACAACCATTTGATAGGTATTAATTGATTGATAAACTAAAAATAAGTTCAACGACAATGATATGCAACAAGCTGCCTCTTTTTGATAAATCTTAATTTTTCAAAAAATGATTCAAAGCAAGTTATAGAGAAAGAAATAACTAAATTACTTTATCATATACTACTGAATACAGCTCTGATGACACATTCTTACTTTTTTTCGTTAAAATTTTAAAAGAAAATGTCAATTGGTTTGTATTTAGACAGCAAATTTTCTTTACAAACTTTCTTTCCTTTTTTGGATAAAAGATAATTTGTTTCAAACTAAAATATACACTTTTCACTTGTCTAGTAGTGCTGACCATAGTTAAAAGATAGATAGAACTAAGTTTAAATCAGTTTGAACTGCGCTAACAGCTATGACTGTGTTTAGTCAAAATTGTTGTTACAAGAAATGTCAATTACAGTTCTGAAAGGTATGATAATAAGTCTTAACTGTCTAGTCAGATGACACTTTACCTGATACGATATGTTTGCAGAGCACAGCAGTAAAGCAGATCAACAGTGTAGTCGGAAAATTTAACGTTGATAACATTTGTGGAGCTTTGCTGAGTGCATTGATGAACTGAGCATCAATTTCCAGAAGTTGCAGTAGACAAACGTGATATCCACAC